CGCGGCATTCCAATGCTTAGCTAGCAGGAACACACACCTCACCACTCTGATGATGGAAAATAGTACAGTTCCGAAACGTCCACATAATTACAGTGTGGTCCACGAGAGCGCCTTGTTTTCTTCTTCGTCTTCTTTGGTGATGATCGGGCTAATTTATCTGGACCTCATACTATCACCTATGATAGTATATTTATTTAGACAGAGCGGATGAACACCCCAGTTTCACCATATTCACGAGCACAACCAACAATAAAACGAGCCCCTGACGCCAAAGTTAAGTGTTAACCTCAACGATCAAGAGTCGCGTGTTCGAATCTCGAGGTGGTTTTAACCCCAGGAATGGGTATAACTGGCTAATAATGGCTTACAAGCCATAAAGGGCCTTTTCGTCTCCCTTGTCATTGTCGAATCCGCTTCGTCGTATTTTATTAGTCGAATTCATCAAGCAGTGAAGGCGTTCAAATAACACACTTTTACGGAGACAGCCATTATGCAGACAGAGCTGGAAGCTGGCTCGTGACACAGCCTTTTTCCAGTTATTTTTTTCGCAGTTTCAGTTTATTCCGTCTTCTCGGACTTGTGATTTGGGGAACATTTTGCTTTTGGCACAACAACTTGCAGCAAGGTTGTCACCGCTGTAATGATTAGTGTCCGCCTCGTCTGGGAGCGCACATGGACAATTTATCATATGATATTAAAATGATCCAGCGTTGTTAGCCAAACTTACGAACTGGTTGCCGATATAAAGGTTCATCTGCTTTCGCATGAAATAGAAATGGTGACTTCATAACCCTGAAGGAGTTAAGTCTTTGTTTTCCTTTCGTCGGAAGATAACCAATTTTAGAAAAAGAAGAAAGAGGAGCTTTCACCGGGAGAGGTTTATTAGAAGCCTAAGTTTTCGGTTAGTTGTTTCGTCTACCCACCTTCGGAGTATAGATACTGTGACTCAAATTATCGTCCTTCTGTGGCCCTCTGTTGTGTGTGCCTGTTCTACCAATCATGTATGAGTCACTGTGTGTGTCGCTCGCCGCGACTTCAGTCCCCTCGTCAGTCTCTATCCTATATGTCGCAGTGCCACGTACGTTGGTTACGACCCCCTCTGTGTTCGTCCGTGGCCTTTTGTGGCGCCCCGACTGGTGCTCAGCATACACTGTTTTGGCCCCAGCGTTATCTAACCGCGTGTTAAAACAGCGTGCGCTGGTGTCGACCCCCTGTGTATGTTCACCCCGTCACCGCCTCTGGTATCGTAACTGGTTCCTGGTATGCATACGCTGGCCGAGGTGTTAGCTGTCCGCGTATTAACCCCGTGTGGGTTAGTGT